TATGCAAGTACATATATAGTATATATTAGTAATTCAAGATTGAATTATTTAAAGCAACGAAGATCCAGCTCCAACCGTAATAGGCCGTTACACCCTAGTATTAATTGAGTTTCTCAAATATACGGTCGTAAATATATTGTTTATTTGAAAAAAATTTGCGTATTAATATATTATTAAGCACTAACGATTCCTTTTGACCAAAAATAGGATTGTTTATTGTTTCTTTTAATTGATTTATAAAATCTTTTACTTTTAACAAATGACTGTGTAGTAGCTGTTCAGTGACTAGTTAAGTTTTACGAACCATCGCTCGAAGAATGAGCTTGCGTTCATAGTGCAGCTTATGAAACAGATGTTTATTGTAGCTACCAACCAGTCGGCGTAATCTCAGATACATATATCGCTGCTTGTCCCGCCAGCAATACTCATTACTTGCATTAGGCACTCGCAAGCATGTGAACCATGCGCGTCTTAAGACATATTTGAGATGCATGCTGACCTAGAAATTAAATAGATGGATTGAATCATATTCTATGTATAAGGTGTCCCATTTTTAATGACGACCTCAAATTTCTCTTGAACAGTGCATTTTAGAGAAAAATGTTTCAGACAAAAGTTTTGGGACTTTGAGGGGGACATAAGATGCTATCATTGATTTGACCTTAAATGGCGTTGTCAAGGTCAGGACAAAGTCACTTCGAATTTTTTAAATGGAACTCCCCATTTTTTATTACATATTCTTGTAGCTTACCTCGACAGCTTTTCAAAGTACTATAATAAAATATTTTTTCATTAAGTACTTTTCGGGTATAACTTTTGAAAGTTACAGTACCACCGGCATTAAGATTACCCAAGGTGTCCGACTGACGGCTAAAACCTCTTGAATATTGTTCAGGAATATCTCCTGGATAACTTTATTGAGATCAAGACCATTGGAGATTATTCCTGTTACTTTCATTTTTGCACTAAAAATTTAGTTTTACAAAAATGAAAATAAGAGGTACATATAACCTTCAATGGCTTTGATCTCAACAAATGTTATTCAAGAGATGTTCCTAAACAACATTCAAGAGGTTTTAGCCGTCGGACATTTTAGGTAATGCTATAATGCTGGCGGTACTGTAACTTTTAAGCCTTATAATTCGAAAAGTACTTAATGAAAATGAACTTAATTACAGTGTTTTGAAAAGCTATCAGGGTACACTACAAGAATATGTAATGAAAAATGGGGAATTCGATTTAAAAAATTCCAAGTGACCTTGCCTTGACCTTCACAACGCCACTCAAGATTAAACTTATGTCACCCTCGAAATCACAAAACTTTTGTTTGAAACATTTTTCTCTAAAATTCATTGTTCAAGAGAAATTTAAGGTCGTTATTTAAAATGGGACACTCTCTGTATATCGCTCTTTTACTTAAAAAATAAACAAGCATCTATATTTCATAAGTATATTAATTATCCTGGAATAATTTGATTTTTTTTAAATTAACACAATTAAAAAAATTAAGTTTCTTAGAGAAGAGGAAAAACTGGACAGAAAATTATTAACTAATCAAACAGCTATTAAAAAAGTATATTCTTAACAATCTTAACATGATCTAATGTCATTTTTGTCATTTTTATTTCACAAAAAAATCCCTTAAAAACTATTCTTTTCGAGTTGATTTTTTAAAAAATTATTTTGAGTTGTGATGATTTTGACAATTTTTTTTAAAGTTAATTTATTTGTAATGATTGAGTGGGTAATGTTAACTCATTCATAGTAATAATTTGAGAATCATTTTTTTAGTTTTTTTAGTTGTGTCACATTTGAAGTAAAATAGCGATATGTATAATATACAATATTCACAGGCTCTATTTTGATTTAAATTCTCTTATAATTCTCTTTTTTGCTTTAAGATTTTCACTTAAGAAATGTTCATTTAATATTAAAGAAATATTGCTATCAGTGATCTTTCTCGACTACCTTAGATAATCAAAATTTGAAAATTTAGATTGCTTTACGAGACATTTTTAGAAATTCTTAGGAATTTTGAAAATTTGGAATGCTTAAAAGTCTTGACTTTAGAAAGTTTCTTTAGAATTGAAAATCTTTTCGTTTTAAAATAAAATATAAGAGAAATTTTCTAAAAATTGTTAAAAATAAAATTTCTTCTCCCAAATCTTAATATCTTATAAAATATCTTAATAATCTTATAAAACAAAATAATTTGAGATAATAAAGTTTTATAAATGTAAAAGAAAAAAATATATTGTTGTGTATGTGTGTGTGTGTGAAAAATTCAAGATTTCACGAGATTCAATACATTCAAGAGACTTTCAAAATTAAAAAAATTTTTTAATTAAAAAATTTTTTAGTTTTAAATAATATTCGGATTTTTGTAATATATGTATAAATGTGCTAAAGTATTCGATGTGCCCTGTTCATCACTGAATATCACATCTTCTAAAAATATTGACCCTTTACCA